GCTTTCTTTGATCATTTTTTTATGTAATAAAACTGTATGTTTATGTTGATGCATGCAATACATTTTGGTTTTGCAGGGTTGTGACGCTTCTATCTTATTAAATTCAACAACTAATAATCAGGCCGAGAGAGATTCTTTCCCCAATCTATCCCTTAGAGGATATGGATCCATCGATAGAGAGAAATCCGCGGTAGAAAAGAAGTGCCCTGGTGTTGTTTCTTGTGCCGATATATAAGCTCTCGTTGCACGAGATACAGTTTCACTGGTATAGAGTGCACACACACACACACACACGCACGCACACATATATATATATATATATATATATATATATATATATATATATATATATATATATATATATATATATATATATATTTACGATTAAAATAAAATCTCGTTTATATATCTGTGTGTATTTCTAATTAGTTGAATGGAGCATCGTGGCCAGTACCATTGGGAAGAAGAGATGGAAATGTATCAAACAGCACAGAAACTTTGTTCAATCTTCCACCTCCTTTCTTCAACATCACTCAATTGAAAGCTAGCTTTGCCTCAAAGGGTTTGAATGCAAAGGATCTTGTTGTTCTCTCCGGTAATAATCATTTATCACTTATTTTACTAATTAATTACATTATTTTTTTTTTAAATTTTGTTCTAAAAACCCTAAATTTGCAGGAGGGCACACCATAGGAACATCCCACTGCTCGAGTTTCACTAACCGCCTGTACAACTTCACCGGCGTCGGAGACAGTGACCCTTCGTTGGACTCGAACTATGTTGCTCGTTTGAAGACAAGGTGCAGTGCGACCGATACCACTACACTTGTCGAAATGGACCCCGGAAGCTTTAAAACATTCGACACCGAGTATTACACTCTTGTTGCTAAAAGAAGAGGACTTTTCACATCTGACGCGGCTCTTCTTGCTGACAGTGAAACTAGGGCTTACGTCACAAGCCATGCTACTCCTCAGGGTTCAAAGGATTTCTTGAAGGACTTTGCAAAGTCAATGGTCAAAATGGGGAAGATTGGTGTTTTAACAGGGAGCCAAGGTGAAATCAGGAAAACTTGTGGTTTTATTAATTAATTAATTAAATTGATTAATTAATTAATTATTGTGTGTGTGTTTCTTCTTTGTGATTTTTTGTTCTCCTGTTTGTGACAATTATCAATCATTTTCTTGTTGTTTCTTAGTTTCTTTATATTGGTTCATTTAGACAATAAAAAGTTGTTCCTCGATCTCTTGTTTGTACTTAAGATCTATGAATATTGAGATTTTCTTATGTATGGATAGTGATTTCCAAATCATATGATATTGGTAATTTATTATAATGAAATCAAAGGTAAATGAAATCATGATTGGTGTTTTGACAGGGAGCAGGAAAACTTAGGAAAACATGTGGTATTATTAATTAATTAATCAAATTATGTAATTAATGAGTGGTGTTATTTGTGTCTTTTGGTAACTAGCTAGTTCTTTTGGTGATTTTTTACTTGTATTTTTTTCGGGTCTTTACAAATAAGCCCATCAATGTTACTTATTCATAAAGAGATCTACACAAAAAACTCATTTACAAATAACTCTGCACATGGTCCAGATTTTTGTAAAAGACTAAAATAGCCCCTCATACTTTAATATGCTCCAATTTCATCATTAATTTAATTTAACTTCAATTTGACCCCAAATTTCACATATTATTCAATTTTGACCCAAAATTGATTTTTCAAAAAAAAAAAAAAAAATTTACCGCCGGATTCCGGCGTTGACTTTTCGATTTTTTTTTTCTTTTATTCTTCCGGATTTTTTCGCTGGTCTCCGGCGTTGACTTTTCTTTTCCTATTTTTTCCGCCACCGGTTTCCGGCGTTCAACGCCGGTCCAACGTTGACTTTTTCGATTTTTTTTTTCTGTAACATTTTTTTTTTCCGTTTAAACAACAATATTGCTGCGATTGACAGTACTATTAACTATATTACTGTTAAACACAGTAAAATTAACTATACTACAGTTTAACACAATAGTATTGCTATATTAATCTCTAGCACAGTAATATTAACATAACAAAACTCATTATTATTGTGTAATAGAGTAATATTACTATGTCGACTGTTCAACAAATGTAAACGTAATAAAAAAGGAAACCGGCGAAAAAATTAAGAAGAAAAACAATAAAAAATAAATCGAAAAGTCAACGCCGGAGATCGCCGGTCAAAGCCGGAATCCGGCGGCAAAAAAAAATTTTTTGTTAAAAAAAAATCAAAATTGGATTTTTGTGGACAAAATTGATTAAGATGGTGTTTGGCTAAGATTATTTTAAACAGCTGATAAGCTCCTACGTCTGATAAGATGTTTTAAGAGCTGATAAGTTGTTACGTCTTATTTTAGGATTAATTTTTAGAGTGTTTGGATAATCAACTTATTTCCTATTT